CGTTGCCCTAGGCATCTCCAGTTCGCGTCTTCGATGATCGTCAGGACACAATTGGAAGCGTTAGTGTTTAGTGTTTCGTCGCTAAACTCTATACGTTCCCGGTCAGCCTGATTCCATCCTGATAGAGCCAAGCACCACTGTAATCGGATTCAAATGTGTGCAGGCGTGATTCACAGGTGGCGTAGCGGTCGGTACGAGCTTAAATTTCGCTCTATCAGCCGTCTATGAATGGTCATGGTGGACACTGGTGTGGGGGTCGCAGGTCTGATGTATGATAACGATGAATCAGGCACTGTGACAGCTCATCTGACAATCACTCTGTGCTTCCAATCTGCTGTGACTCTAGGCCAACTGCTACCATCATGACGCTGAAATATGTCCTTGTCCACCCATTCTTGCCAGCATCTTCTAATGGCCGCATCGTTTCGACCCTTATGACGAGCTATTATCAGATTTGCCCTACCTGCTTCTTTCAATCCAATGATACGACCTCTTTCAAACTCTGACAGTTGTTCGTAATGAGCTGGAATCCTGCACCGAGGCATTTTTTCAGTCATTGAAAGGTATCCTAAATCACAATGCAACAGAAATTTCGACTTTCAGACTGATAATCGCTTCTTATCGACACCAACTGAGTGAGCAGTTCCGATGCGCTATAGTTCCCGCTATTCTTTCATTGGACACCAAATTTTAATCATTTGTATGTTCGGAACAAATGTCTTTGCATACGAAATTTCATTACAATTGGGCAACTTCTTCTTGGTGCGTCGTTTTCTTTGTTATAGAGTGTAGATTAATGTTAGTTTCTATTATAGTTTTTGATGCTGTGGAAGAATTTATCCAAAGAATCTTTCTTTCTCTATCTCTGCTCCTCCTTTTCTTTTTCTATAAATTAAACTCAAAAGACTTGATACAATTTTTTAGCTCCTACGAGTTGACGTCGTTCACATCCAAGCATCTACATGTTCAGTATCGGTATCATGTTTCCAAAAAACGCATTCTTTCCGAAATTTTTTTGAACTTTCTCACTCCTACTGTACTTGTGAAGTTATAAATAGATTTGCACGGCATACACTTAAATGATGATAGTAAAATAAAATGAGGAAAAGAGCTTTGCTTGATTCATTTACTAACTTAAATTTATTATGAAGAGATTATATGGAATAACTTATATTCTAAATGGTTCTAAAATATAACAGTTAAGTTAAACATATACTATTTAACGAATATATTTTCAGTATGAAATACATATTTTTCTATATTATGCTCGCGTTTTTTATATGTATCAAAGTTTACTTAAAAGGAATTTTTAATTTAAATTATCACTCCAATTACCCTATTGAATTTATTGAAAATAATTTAATTAGAAGGAGGAGGTTCTTTTTTCAATTCCTACTATCACTTCACACTCTCCCTATACATATTTATGTATCTTGTCCAAATTTTCAATAGTTAATATAATAGTTTTCATTCATCCAATACTTTTTTTAAACTTGGATGACACTGGATTTTAATATAGCTTTTCGATATTAAAATTCATTAATTAAATTTAATTAATTATAATTTAAGAGATATATTTCAGTCGATATTATTCTTCTAGATGGTAGCACCATTGGTTAAAACAGTCTTTGTTGTATTTGGGATGAAGATTTAACTTGACCTCTCTGAATAAAATCATATGCTAGTTAAACATCAGGATTCTTTTTACACTGGTTTTTTACACTCTTAGTTTACTACGAAAAAATAAATTTTGCACTGTATTTTTGTAAATGTTTTACTTATACGTGTAGTTCAAAGTATAAAGTAATATCAGAGGGAATTCTGTTGTTGCAGATTAGATAACAAATAACTTGTGTTAGGATTGTAAGACAATAACAAACAAGTGTGCTCTTCGCCGCCTCGTGCAGGGGCTGCGGTAGCCCAGTGGTTAAAGTATCGGACCATGGCAGGCATGTCATGAGTTCGAGCCCAATACCACTAAAGACCCGCCGTGTAGGGCAGCGATGCACGTTAAATCTGTCGAGAGCTGAAACGTCCTCCCGTTGGTGTGGTGTGGTAGTTAGGAGAGGGGGGTGCCAGCTCAGGTGTCGTCCACGTCACTTGACCATGGTTCAAAATTACGTGGTCCGTCGCCAAAAGCCCTCGTGTTGCTGAACAGTGCGACGTTAATATTCACTCACTCACTCACTCACTCGCCGCCTCGTGCATCGCGACAGATCACACTCGTGTTTTTTCGTAATACTTCATAGTGAACTTTGTTATTTTGAACAAAAATGCAAATCAAAATTGCGTGCTCAAAATATTGTGACGCGTACCTTCAATGGAACGCATGTCATTGGTTCGTCATCCTTGATCTAGGAGAAAGAAGGGTTTTTTTGAAAGAAATTTTTAAGTCTTGCAACGTCAAATATCTGCTTAAAATACTGTTATTATTGAATCGTAAAGAAAATTTTATTTTAATTATTCGGTCTTTTTACTCGAAAAAAGTCAATTTGCATCATCTAGAATTAATTACTTCAACTGTATGACAAACATATGACACAACTTGTTATCGGTATATTTTATTTGTTATAATGTATTCTTTTTTAGAGTGAAATTTCTTAAGACACTTAGCTTTTGTAAATTTTACACATACAAGTAATAAATACACTTACATCACCTGGCATAAGTTCGGCACAGTCTAAAACTTCTTGTTTTAATTCCTCTAAAATAATAAAAGATAAAAATTAATGTAACAGTATAAAAATTGGTACTTATCTATTATACCGTCGACCATCCTCGCCAAACGAAAAGACATCGCCATTTCAAAAAATGTCTCGCCAAATGCTGTCATCTTTATTATTACTATATTCGAACGTGGGTGAGAACAATTTCCACTACTGACTTTATATTGCGGCATTTGGCGATGACTTTTAATGTGACGAAATTAGTCGACGGAAAAATACATGAAAATATGTAAAAATTATATATTGCCAAACTTCATTTCACAAACATTGTTAAATCGATTCTTAACATTTTTTGTAGAAACACAATTAACCGACGAACAGTTTTAAATATCACTTTAGTAAAGTTGTGTTTCCTTTTCTCATCAATAATTTCAACATTTTACAGGCAAATGAGGTTAATTTAAGCTGTTAAAATCCTTAAAATGCACTTATTTGAATTTTTTTTTTTTTTTTTTTGCTTGCCCCAATTAAAAAAAGAAAGAAATATTCAAGAATTTTTGGAAGATGAAAATTCAAGTGAAATTAAAGATATGAATTACGTTATTATTTTCTCTTTTATGATTCCAAGTATATAATATAACGGTGAAAACTTATCAAACGTCACAATCAAAGTATTATTTGTTATAGTGTGGTGGATAGAACCTGCTACGCTTGGAAATGAAGCCGTGTAACATACCACGAGACAAAAGTGGTCAAGGTTTCCCGGAGGCTGTTACTGACTTAAGTAGATACCTCTACAATACTCTCCCACCTGTGAGTCGGTGGATAGGTGAACGAATGATATAATTGTTATGGCGAAAGTTGCTGTTGATTACTGTTGATTGGCGGTGTTGTGTCAAGTTAGTCTGACGACTTTGGTTGTTGCGTCAAGTGGGTCTGGCGACTTTTGATTGCCTTTCTTGCGGGTAGATGGCGCCACGAAAGATCAGAAGGTTGCCTCTTCATATCACATCCGGGTCACCAATGTGGAGGAAAGAACCCTCGATGCTCGATAACGTTGCAGCGTAACATACCACTAGACAAAACCCCGATTCGGAGGCTATTACTAGCTTAAGTAGATACCACTGCAATAGTATAGCGAGAGATTATAGTCAGTTTTACATTCAAATAATTTTTAAAGTTATTCTCTATTTAAAATAAAATGAGAGTGTTAGTTAAATAATAGCCATGCATATTCAAAAAATTGCTTTGAAAAAGGGCAATTTTGTAATTAAAAATATAGCTGAAAATCTTGTAGTTAAAAGATAAAAAAAAATGTGTGTTTAAATTAAAATTTAATTTCTATAAAAAATTTTAACAATTGAATTAAAATTCGTACCGACTGCTCAATGTGGTTATAAAAACAGGATATACTGAACAAATATTTTTAATTAAAGTCTGTTTAATTAAAATATGATTTATGATTAAAATTCTAAAGTCATTTAATAAAATGCTTTGACCTTTAGAAAAATCGCATAAAAGTCAAATCTTATTTCGTATATTTTAAAAGGAAAATTAATCTCTGTGAGGGGAAGTGATTGTTCAAATAAACTTGTTATGAGAAATTATCAAGAGCTCTCTCTGAATTTTTCTGAAATTAATTTTTAATGAAGCTCTTCAATTAAAATTTCTCGAGAAATACTTCAATTAAAAAGATATTTCATCTTTTTGATTCTATGTGGAAAATAATCAGATACTGTATTCTGAAATTCTAAATAATTAATTTTTTATTAATTCTGTATATAATCCAGATTAAAAATTGAACTAACACGTTCATGACGCATCATTTAATTAAATATTAAAGTGTTATTTTAAAATGCTGCAAAGCATTGAAGCATTTTATTATTTAGGAAATATGTAGCAGAAGAAATTCAAAGAATACATATCATTTTTAGTAGATCGGATTTCATCGTTTTAAATATTATTTTACTAAAGTTATGAAGGGTTATAATATTTGCTTATAATTTATCCGAACATATATTACTGGTTTAGAGAACAAGTAATATATAAAAAAAATTTAAGTCAATTCCTATTTAGATCAACAAAGAAAATTTTTTTAAATTATTTTTTATTAAATAATTACATTTTTTTATAAATATATATATACATAGGACAGAATCACAATATTCAGTGACAAAATAGAAAGTGAATTTCTTTACATTTTTCCATTTTGCTTTCTATACATGACGTTAGACTATTTTTTGTTTGTTTGTTACTATTTATTCATTAGCTCAAATTTAATTTTTTTAATAAAATAATATAGTAAAAAAGAATTCAGATTCTCTGAAATTAGGCCATTCCATGTGGGATTCGCACCCACGACCTTTGAATTAGAAGTCCAGTCGCTATCCATTGCGTTACAGGAACATAACGAACGATTTTCCTTTCTATATATGCTGTTGGATTATTATTCATGTTTGTTACTATTTATTCGGTTTTTAATTTAATTAATAAATTAATATTTGAAAAAACTGTATTGACATCAAGTATCCTCCACTACAAGTTTTAAAAAAATACATTTGAACTTGAATGAATGAATATAAAGTATTTCATTAATGATTGAAAACTTGAACAAGACATGTATAGAAATATATATATATATATAGAGAGAGAGAGAGAGAGGGAGAGAGAGAGTGAAATAGTAGTAGGAATTGAAAAAGAGAAGCTTTATGAATAAATTAAATATCTTAATAAATTAATCTTACCAACAAGTAATATAAAAAAAAAATATTTCAATTCCTACTTAGATCAACAAAGAAAAATTTTATTTTAGCTACTTTTTATTAAATAGTTACTATTAACATAAATATGTATATACAAATGACAGAATCACAACATTAAGTGGTAATTAATTCTTATTAATTATCATTAAAGTACCATATTGTCATCCAAAACAATAGGGTATTTAAAATTTCTGTTCAACTGAATGCTTTTAAACGTGAGAAAAAAACCTTTTCAAGTTTTGACACAAGTCGCCAAAATGGTTGCTAAGTCACCAAAAATCATGCCAACGTGGCTGTATTTGTAATTCTTTAAATAATTAGTTTTAATCAATTAATTTTTATTAATTATAATTAAATTATTGAATTGTCATCCAAAATAATCATGTACATAAAATTTCAGCTCAATTGAGCGCTTTAAAATGTATTTTATTAACGATTGAAAATTCCACGAAGATAAATAAATAAATAAATATATCGAAAGTGTGAGCTAATAGTGTGTGGGAGGGGGGAATTGAAAAAATATTATACCATGAAAGCTAACATAACTTTCCCAACTTGAGAAGTGCTGTAGTGGCCTAGTACAGTGATTCTCAACCACTGTGTTGCGGCACTTTTGTGTCCAACCAAATTTTTTAAAAATTATTAATTATACTCAGAGGGAAAAAAAAATAATAATAAAATCCAGAACTAAATCCTTCGGCCATTTTATAGAAATAAACTAACGGTATTCCTGGTATATTTAGTTTATTCTTTAGTGGATATATGGAAGTGTATTATAGATAAGTAAAATTTGTATAAGCTTATTGTATTGTTAGTCTGCCGCCAAAAATTGTAGTTGTTGAAGTGTACCGCAACTAAAAAAGGCTGAGACTCACTGATCTAGTGGTTAAGGTCACGAACTCGTAGTCAATGGATCATAAGCTCGAGCTCTAGTGGCATAGATGACCCTCCGTGTAAAGGGACCGATGTAGGGACATCTTAAACCTTCTTGAGACCCAGGACCCAATGCAAAAGTAGCCCCTGGAACTAGTGGCGTAAAAATGAATATTAAGATCCCCTGCAAAGTCGGGATTTGGGCCCCTAGAATCCTACCCTCCCCCACGATGCTGGGATTCACGGGGTGTACATTACGCAACTGTCTGGGCCCCTACACAAATGCAGGTCCTACCTATGATCCTTAAAATAGACATAACATAGCATACGTAGTCAAAAACTCGTATAAACAATAAACATCGAAACAAATAAATGTGCATGACAAACAATTTCGCAAACCGGGTGGACCGATTACCGCCTATTGATTGAATGAGTAACGATGATGTATGGTGATAGGCCTACACCTATACGAGGACGACGGTCATCACATGTAGCCAGTTGCCATATCGTCCGAGATTCCGAGTTTTTCGGCGAACACAACCGGAAATAACATTTGACCGTTGAAATTATTAAAATCGTGATCTCATTATGTCTGAGTCGAGATTAAGACGAGGCCCCTCATTGTGGCCCAGGCCCTGGGCCCATGCCTTAAGATGTCCCTGGACCGATGCACGTTAAATGCGCGAGAGACTGCTTTACACAAACTCTCATTTTGGAATAATATAATACAAGGAGGTATCAACTGTATGAGGGAATAAATATTTGACCTCAATTAACAATCAGGCACAAGCAGCACATATTTGGTTTACAGGATATGTTTTAAATGAGGATACAGGATATGTTTTTTTGGTTTATACAGAATATGTTATGTACACTTCTCCTTTTAAGTCATATTTGTTTTTAAGGGCTTCTCTCTCTATGTTTATGGGGTTTCGAGTCTCCGATCATCTTGTACTGAAAATCAAGCAGTATTGTTACATTTTCCAAAAAATATAATTTTGTTCATGTTAGTTATATAAATTTAATACGGCTCTGGGGGCTTAAAAATAGCGTGCTCGCTTCGTAAGCCTAAGGTTGGGGGTTCGACCCCGACTGGAGTAGATAGATTTCTGTATGCGAAAAGCGTAGGCACGCATGTCATATGATTATGTGGCGTGTAAAAGATACTTTGAGTATCAATTTGGCTCCGGTACTGTTGGAAAAATTAAATCACGGCAATACTTAGCATCCAATGAGAGCTTGAATTAAAAAATTAAATTCAAGCGTCCAAATTTGGTAAAGAAGCCGCCTCTAGATGGGACCCCCATGGAATGGTCCTCACGGTTAAGGACGCCGTGTCTGCAAAGGCTAAGTTATTAAAATGCAGCCCCATTGGAAAAAAGATACCAACGACTAAGCAGTTTACTTCACTTTTTAATCTATTTGCGTAAACTAATTTCGATGAATGAGAGAACGTAAAAGAAGTAAAATCGATAACATGGAACAAACACACTAAATAAATGGATAAAACTAAAAGTACCCTCCATGCAGTATCAAATGAAATAACTAAAAACATGAGCATGTTCCACATGATCTTGTTGGATGCTGCTTTTTAACAAACGTAAGATTTCACACCTACTAAAGTATAATCAAATTAGTTTTTTTTTAAGAAAGGAATATATTGAACTCAAGCTTGGTCATTTTAAATTCATCATTGGCAATTAAACTGGATTAACTGGAAAGAAAACAACAATAGCATTCATCCACCCAATTACTACCCTATGACGTATTAAGACTCTTAGTCGTGGCTGCATCTAAATTTAGCGGAGTCATGACAGAATAATATATATTTTATCAAATATATATCTTTATCAAAATATTTAAACTCATGAAACGGTTTACCTCAGCGAATCCTAACAAAATATATGTATTAAAATTAATGCTAATAAATCTTTACATGAAGTATCCACGCAGCTAATCTTGAAGCATGTACTACTATTTTCAAGTAAGTTTACTTCAGGTCTTTTTCTTAGTTAAACTCTCTATTTATATTTCAGACCAGCGTTTCTCAAACTGTGGGGCGCGCCCCCCTAGTGGGTCGTGATAGCTCTACAAGGGGGGCGCGAGCATATTGAAAAGTTGAAAACAAAAGATCATTTAAAAAAATATTAATTTACCGAAAGTAAACAAACAAAATACATTCTGACATAATAAAAAAAAAAAATAAAATAAGCGTTTACTCTGATATAACACACTTACAAATGTTTCAGTATATTGCATAATGTATTTTATAACTAATTTAACAATGCTAAGTTAAGAACAAGTTTAATAATTACCAGTGAACCCATGGACTTGTCATATATAAAATTATATACAAAAATTAACGTTTATCTGGATAATTTTTGTACAGTTTATAATTAATCCCTTAACTGCCGATTAAAAGTTACTCGATTCTCACCCCAATTGCCACCAGTTTCCGCGTAGGCACGTGTATGTAATGTATTGGAGGAGGGGGGGCTAAGGAATATATTTAAATAAGGAAATTATCTGAAATAAGTAAATCCTTCGCAAACACTCTGTCAAGATCCTTTTATTGCATTCCAAGGCCTTCTGAATAATTTTATGGATAGCAGTGCACAGAAAAAGAACGTACTTCGGAAAGACGTATATATACGTCCGAGGCAATTAACGCTTTGGTTGATAGATATTTTTATATACGCCGGTGGCACTTAAAAGGCTAAATTCGCTTTAACGTCAAAGTATGGCAATAATGAATTCAATACATTGTTTTTCTTTGGGAAGGGGGGGCGCGAAGAAAATTTTGATTGAATATTGGGTCGCAAATGTTGAAAGTTTGAGAAGCACTGTTTCAGACCCTTCACTTATCGCTTGCTAATATTCATTCTCCTAATTTTCCACTACAATCCTATATAAATAGCACTGCATATTAGCATATATCACAAGGAGAAAAGCTATCACATCAAAACATCGTCATAAGGTAGCCACTGAGGTTTGTTACGAGAAATGTACGTGAGAACTCGCTGCAGTGCTGTCAAGTCTTCCTTGCAAACTTATTATGTTCAGTGGATATGGATACAGAATTATCGCTATAAGCCTTAAATAAAAGATAATTATTATTTTATAGAACGCTATTACCCCTCTTCACATTCTTTTGATGGAAATTTAAGGTCTTTTGCTAATTGCAGCTTGAACGTGAAGTTAAATTAATAAAAGTAAATCAGGTTTATTCTTAAGTTATGGGACACACGAAACGCTATTACGAAATGAATTATAAGATTTCTGGTTGATTCCATGATTTTGTTAACCATTGTATTTTCACAAATATAAAAATGAAGAATACGTGCTTTGATAAATATAAAAATTGTGACGGGCTCACACGTCTTTTCTTTAACATAACCTCTGGGTTCTTTGGTGGCCAAGATTAATGGCAACTCTTTTCCAACCAAAACCCAAAAAGCGAAATGTGACCAAGAAATGCAAATAAGATAGCTCTTAAAAGAACAGAAGTTTCAGTAAGCAGAATGGCAATTTGGGGAAAGTTATGTTTGAAAAGATACAAGCGTGAATTGACAGCCACTCGAAAAGTTACCTCGAAAGTAAACCAGTAATACAAGGTGCATACCATTGCACACGCGCCCAGACGTCTCCGTATAGAAATCAAATATTAGTTGGATTAAGGTAGGACTGATTATTTGATATTAGGACTTATAATATTATTAGAAGTGAGAGCAGTTGGATTGAATAATTATTTAGGGAAAGTGGTCTAAGTTA